CGATACATAGGACTGCGTCTATCTCCCGACCCGTTCTATGGATTGTGACACGTTGTTTTCCGTTAGGCGAGTTTTAACGCTTCAAGTTGTTTTCTCTTTAAGAAATTGGTTTTTCGGTGTGTCTTCGGACGAAAGTCGAAAAAAACTTATTTTGGTGGTCTGGATCTAAGTCGCTCTTCAAAATAATTGTTCTTGCATTGATGAGGAGGCCGGAATGTGCGTGCATCTTGGTCAGCTATCTGCGAGGCGGAAGTCTTCCACTGCGACCTTCGAACTCAACTGAAACTCAACTGGAACTGAAATCAAACTGAACTGGAACTCAACTCAAACTGATTTCCGCTCGTTGTGGCTTCGCTTATATGGACGCCGACCAAAACCGGGGTGGGTCTGTCGGCGTCGGGGGTTCCTCGATAATTCTAAATACGTATCCACCTCTTTTATTTCTGGTTAGGAATTTTCCACTCTTTTCCATTTTTGGGAGCCGTTTCTTACTCCCATTTTCTTACCATACTTCAGAGGGGCGTGAGCTGCCTTCCCCACTTCTTCGTAGCAGCTTCTCCTACCTACCCTCTGGATGGGCGGCTACAGCCTCCTTCGTACGTCACGTGATCACAACTCGACCAATGATGTCCCAGTCGGGCGTGGACGAATCCGCGGCTTTGTTTCTGAAAAAAAAATATCTTGCTTAACTAAAAAAACAAATTATCTTTTTTTTTCCCCTTTTACTTCCTCCTAATCGGAGTTATCATTTTCCCTAGCCTCAACGGCGGTGGTCATAACTTTTGTTCTACACCTGGTCTTCGTCAATTATTTTATCGCCAATTATCAGAATGGGTGGTCTTCTTAACACGGCCAAACGTCGCCCCAAAAAGAAACATTTCTAAGTTCCCATTCATTCTTTGGCGAACATTTCTTGATAACATAATTTTATTATCGCAGGCATAAAGATGTTCCGTCGAAAGAAGTCGGTCAGTGGACAATCGTGTGTGGCTTTGATACAATTAATTTTTCATATCTATCCAAAGTCCTTTTAGTTACCTGTTTTTCGACACTTATCGAAATAACATTTTCATTTGGATTTTTCTTTGGCCAGTCGGTCTGTAATTGATAATCAGATGCATTCCCGTACCAACAATTTGTATACATATCCCTAGATAACACAGCCGTCGCCAAAACATATCTGATTCTTTTTTTTTACTCAGAATTTCCCTGTCATTGTAATGACACTCTTTCGCCATTTGTTACTTATCAAAATATCCTTTATACATTGTCTCTTAGCCGTGTGTGTGTGTTCTGCTTATCATCTACGTTTGGTCTCGCCTCTCTTTCTGCCTTCTTTTCTTTCTTTTCTTTTTCTGCCTCGATAAATGGTACCACAGACATAAAAGACATTGTTTGTTATATTTAACAACACACGCACACACACACACACACACACATATATATATATATATATATATATATATATATATATATATAATTATTTATTTAAAATATGATTCCTTCGCTACATAAGAGTTCTCATGTTTCAAAATAAGAGCCGAAAAATTTCAATATAATTATTTGAATTAAATTGAATTAAAGTACCAAGCTCTGTTCCATCTTCAAGCGAAATTTTTGGAATAACTAATTCTTGAAATTTACGTGTTTTTATAAGCATATTCATTATTAAAATTAAATTTAATTTTAGGGTGTTTTTATTAAAGATTTTAATAAGTCTGCCCCTCATTTAAATAATTGTTCTAGCCGTTACCATAGTAATTTTAATTTTCCCCTTCAAGTTTTGGCTTATAGATATATATATATATATATATATATATATATATATATATATATATATATATGTATGTATGTATCGTCATCCACAGACTGTTTTTTGATGAAGGTGACTTTAGACGTATTTATTTTTAAACAAACACGCCAGTGACCAGATAACTCGATTCGTCTTAACGAAGAGTCTTGCATCAGCAGCAATAATAGTCACTGTTTACAAATTCACATTTCTCCCGAAGGGCTCAACCAAAATATTTTTTTAGGAGCATGTATTTATATTGTCAGTCACAGACAGGCTGTTTCGCCGTTTCACAGCTCATCAGTGTGGATAGGCATCCCATTCGTTCAAACCGTGAGTGGATATATATATATATATATATATATATATATATATATATATATATATATATATAAAAAAGCTTATAATATATTCCATTGGAATCGTAAATACGATCCAATTCATCAGAGCCACATATTCAAAAAGAAAACAGAAAAAACAACTCCGGAAATAAAAAATAAAATTAGAGAGAGTGTAAGTATTAGAGTGTTAGAGCTATAGAGAGGGATAACAGACGAGAGAAGGTGAGGGATTAAAATATTCATATATATCTGTATATGGCTGTATATATATATATGTATGTATGTATAGTTAGACGGATAGGTATAAGGATATATTGTTTATTTGTTTAGATGGGTGTATGTAATTATATGGATATGTAAGGTTTTATGTATATATGTTTAGGTGCACGTATGTGTATTTCCTTATGTATATATGTGTGTAAATGTATATATATGTGGTAGTGGATGTGTATGGATGGATGTGTATATGTATGTATGTGTGTGTATTTATGTATGTATGTGTATACATATGTGTATGTCTATGTATGTATATATGTATATATATATATACGTATATGTATATGAATATATATATATATATGTATATGTGTACATGGGTATATGTGTGTGTAAGCGTGTACACGCCTATATGTATGTATGTACGTGTATATGTTATTGTGTATGTGTGTATACGCATGTGTTTTTGAGCATAGAAATATAGGTCCTTGCTAGATTAGATAATCGTTATATTTATTTTTTATATGTTTATATTTGATTTGTAACCTGTAGTCGATATTAACTTTGACAAATTTTCTTAATTACACAGCGGCTCTTTTAGTAAATGCCTTTCAGTTTTAGTTTCCCCCACCCCATCTCTCTCCTCCACCCCTTTTCCTTTTCTTTTCTTTTACTCTCCCTACCTCTTCTGATCTTTAAGATTGGATCGTCTATTGTGTGTGCATGTCACCACAAAATGTTTCCTTTCCGGTTACATCTTTAATGTATTAGACATCCGACAACATTCATATTTCTTTCACTTAAACCGTCTTTGACTCCTCTCTCTAAAACTTCTCTCTGTTAAATTTTAATCCCCCACCTTCTCTAGTCTGTTACCCCTCTCTATAACTCTAACATTCGTTCCACACTCTCATACATACTCTCTCTCTAAATTTTATTTTTTATTTCCGGAGTTGTTTTTTTCTGTTTTCTTTTTGAATTTGTAGGTCTGATGAATTGGATCGTATTTACGATTCCAATGGAATAAATTATGACCATGGAATATTAGTGTTTAAGCCTTTTATTATATCCTCTGTCTGTCCTGGACATTGAGTTCTACCTGGATTCTATCCTCTCTGGAATCACCGTTTTTTCACATCTATCTATATATGTTTTTCATATCTATCTATCTGTCTTTTCACATCTATCTATCTATCTATGTCATATTTATATCTATCCATGTCATATTCATATTCCTATCTATCTCCGTCTTTTCACATCTATCTATCTATCTATCTATCTATCTATCTATCTATCTATCTATCACCGTTTTTTTCATATCTATCTATCTCTGTCTTTTCACATCTATCTATCTATCTATCTATCTATCTATCTATCTATCTATCTATCTATCTATCTTATTTATATCTATCTATGTCATATTCATATTCATATCTATCTATCTATCTATCTATCTATCTATCTATCTATCTATCTCTTCATTATGTCACCGAAATGAAGAACCTTACAAAATATTCAGGCCACTCTCGACAAAGAGAAAGAAAAAAAAGACATGCAAGAGCCTTTACCGAGAAAGAAATAAAGTGCCCTATATTATAAACTCGGAAATTTAATAGGAGAAAATATAAAAACAAAACAAAAAAAACTTGACCATAACTGGTAAACAATCCCCCAATGTCCAAACGACACTGTTTGACCTTGAATAAAAGCGTCGATGGGTTTCCATGGGTTACATTAATTAAAAAAAAAATAATCATTTAAAAAAGAAATGAATATAAAATTAATTATTTAAACAAGAAATAATAAAAAAAATAAAAGTAATTCATTTATATTTTTAAAAACTTTAGAAAAACCCCAGAAAATTCAGGAAAATTAGCCTAATTATGGCGACTCTGACACCGGAAATAACATTGTTACATTATCTTTTGATACTCAGAGACGAAAGATAAAGACAAAGAAAGAAAATGAATAATGAGAGATTATAAGGACACAAGAAAATTTTGAAATGAAGAAATAATCACGACATTCTGCATATATGTATATACGCACACATTCAGTCATACACACAAGCGCATGCACACGAGAGCGTACGCACACACACACACACACACAAAAAGGAACAACAACCTAATAACAATAAAATAACGTGCATAAATCATTTACTAATTTAATATTAAAGTAACGAAAATGAGAAAATTGACAGATATTTACTGATACCTCCTGATGACGGGGAGCGTACACTTACACAAAGGTTCACCTACGAAACTCTAGGTGCTGCATATAGAATCAATCATCGAAGTGAGAAATGTTATAGTTGCATTAATTATACTGTATTAGGAGGCACGAGGGAGTAATGGATAGATCCGAGTTCGAATTAAAGTCGGATCCATCATTTACATGCTGATGGCGTTTGGAAAATTATGACCCTATTATTCTCCCATGTGAAGACTTGTGAAGAAGGAGAGTTCAAAACCTGGCGTAGAGAGAAATGAGCTCCGTTAGCCTATCTTGCCCGGCTGCAGTACTGTTCTACCCCTACGACCGCGTGATATTGTATTAATTCTTTCTTTCTTTCTCTCTCTCTGTCTCTCTCTCTGTCTCTGTCTTTCACTATATATATATATATATATATATATATAATATAAAAGGCTCAAAAACTAATATTCCATAGTTATAAAAGTTACAAATAGGTCTGATGAATTGGATCGTGATTACCTTTTACAGTGTAACCCGGATATAAGAGACCCGGATATAAGAGAAACCCGTATATAAGAGAGATTTTCTCTGGTCCCAAATTAGAGCCTGTATTAATGTATATATAATAGACCAAACCTGGATATAAGAGAAACCCGGATATAAGAGACTTCTTCTCCGGTCGCGACAACTCTTTTATATCCGGGTTACACTGTATATTATATTCGTACTCTGTCCTGGATTCTATCCTCTTGGGAATGTATGTTTTATATATATATATATATATATATTATATATAATAATATATATATATATATATATATATATATATATATATATAGAGAGAGAGAGAGAGAGAGAGAGATTCAACATCATCCTTGATAAGACACCTGAAGTGTTGAAACAAAAATGGCTATTTTGTAGTGATTTTATAACATATTTCTGTTATAATTTTAAAATAAATAATTATATATATATATATATATATAGAGAGAGAGAGAGAGACAGAGAGAGAGAAACAGGCAGTGATTGATTGGTATTTTTATATTGGGATATATTTCAATATATATTCGCCATTCGTTTATATAGTTTTTTTTTTAACCTTCTTACAGTTTTCCTTTTTATTTTACTTTTTGAAGGGCAGGTAAAGAAAATGTTGAAAATGGATTGTCGGCAATGATTATTGTCCAAATCCCTTTCGGTCAATACATTAAACATCTTCAAGAAGTTTGTGTTGACTTATTAGTGATTTGATGTTTTGAATCTTGGTAAGTCTGTATATTTGTATATATGAGAATATATATGTATATCAGTGCATGTGTCTGATTGCTTGTATATGCTTTAATTGTATGCACTTGTATCTGATATAATTTTCTTTGGTGTTTTGTTCGTTTAAATTTGTTTATTTTATTTCTTTTCTTCTTCTATTTCCTGTGTCGTTCGTATATTTGCGTGCTTATATAATTAATTATATTTCCGTGTTTACGTGTTATGATGTGATTGTGTATGTCTTGTCATTTGTAAAACCTATTCCCCTTTCCACCTATTCTGAATTCAGACTCTATCTAAGTATCAAATATGTAGCGATCATTAAAACTACTTGAATCAGCGTTGAGTCTAACGGGAAATTTAACATTTAGATGAGAACGATACATAAAAGAATATGTAAGCAAATATATGGATATAGATACGACAGTATGAAGAAAAATATACAGAAAAAACAAACAAAAATCTTAATATGCAATTATGCTGTATTAATGTTAATATAAAGTCAACGTCGGACGTTTCGGTCTATTTTAGACCATCTTCAGGACATTATCATTTAAACATAATTAACATTAGAACATATAAAAATTCAACACGAAAAGCCGATGGACATAAGAGCACAACTAATCTAAACAGATAACTGAAATTTTTATATAAGATCAGCGTTCCGTTTAAATATGATCACGTCGTCGTCACGTGGGCGATGTTGTGAAAACGTATTCGAAGATGATTTCCAAATATTAAAATATTAAACAAGTTCGATTGAACTATTTTCTCATATAAACAGTTCAAGAAATCCCTTCCGTTGATATAGGAATACGCAGAGATCAATATGTTCTTATATCTTCATACAAGCTTGAAGTCCTCCACGTTACAAAGCAAATTAATATTAATACATTAATTTATATTAACATTAATACAGCATAATTGCATATTATGATTTTTGTTTGTTTTTTCTGTATATTTTTCTTCATAAAAGAATATGTATATTTTCTCCATTTCTTCTTTGAACAATTCCGTAATATTCTAAACTTAATGCATTGTTATATTTAAAATGTATAAATCGTAACTTTTAGTTTTAAGTGTTTCGTGAAATTAAAAGTTAATTAAAATTTAAAATGTATAATTCATAACTTTTATTTTTAAGTGTTTCGTGAAATTTAAAGTTAATTAAAATTTAAAATGTATAAATCGTAACTTTTATTTTTAAGTGTTTCGTGAAATTAAAAGTTAATTAAAATTTAAAATGTATATTTCGTAACTTTTATTTTTAAGTGTTTCGTGAAATTAAAAGTTAATTATTTATACTGATTTCTAATTTAGTCTAATATTAATATTAAAACATTAATAAATTGTATCTAGGATCAGCTGTCAAGTTTTTTGAATTCTGAATTCTCATATACTTGCCATCATAGCTTAAGAACAATGTTTCCCCTATTGAAGGGAGAGGTTGATTTTGAACATTTTAAAACTAATTATTTTACAATCAATACCCTCACTTGACTTGATAACAGAAGCGTTGAAACGAAATGGCTATTATTGTAGTGATGTTATAATATGCTTCTGTCGCAATTTTTGAATAAATAATATATATATATATATATATATATATGTGTGTGTGTGTGTGTGTGTGTGTGTGTGTGTGTGTGTGTGTGTGTGTGTGTGTTATAAATTCCGGGATGTAAACCCGACCCAGTTATAAGTTATTGACATTATTAAAAGCGTTCATTAAAGTATGTGTTGAAAAAATACCAGAAGTGTTGAAACAAAATGGCTGTTTTTGTAGTAATGCTTATGTCATTACTTTTAATATATATATATATATATATATATATATATATATATATATATAGTCGACTCACCCGTCGACATTCGACGGATGAGGGTCAAGCAGATCAGTTTCCCAGGAAACCGACAGCCCGACAACGGCACAAGAGAGCTGTAAGACTGGATGTGCGGGTAGCATAATGCATAATGGCTCAGAATTGTTAATATTCACTTATACATACTCTTGGGAAACGTATGAATTCACTTTTTCTTCAATATTGTACCACAAAAATATTCTTTCCACCAAAAGAATTATTACAATCTAAACATATTTAATGGCATGAAATTACCTGTATCTGTAACGGCATTCACCCGAGGTGTGTTGATCCGGCTCCAATATTGGAGTTTCATGGGAATTTGGAATTCACAAGCGGTCAGCGACCCGCATGTATAGCACATGAGATTTGATTATAGTGGTGAAGGTTTCGTGCAGGACCAGGCACACTTTTTGAAGGGCTGAATACAGAGACCTGGTGCACTAAGTGCCACAAGGTCCCCAAACGACCCTCCGCAGGTTTTGAATTCAGAGTTGTCCTTCTCCTAGACCAGTTGCCATCCAAGCCTATAGAACCCAGTCTGTCCTGCTATTTACCCATAGCTGGAGGTAGAAGAAGAGGATTCATACCTTTCCCAAGGATATCAGCACGTAAGGGTATCATGCAACCGATTCGAATGGAATTCGAACTCGGCTCTGCGATTTCTCAATCTAATCCTCCACCCTGCCTCCTCACACACACACACACATATATATATATATATATATATAAGTGAAAATGCATAATATCCAACGTCGTGGCGTTTAAATACATTTTTAGCATACCCATATCTATCTATCTATCTATCTATCTATCTATCTATCTATCTATCTATCTATCTATGTGATTGCTTAAATGTATTTCTATATAAATTGGGATAACTAATCAATTCTAAACGATATCTGAGTTGCATTCTCTGCAGTCAGTCATTCTAGCTTTCCCCAAGGGAACTTTCCCTAATTGATAGAATTAACTGCAATATAAATATATACATAAAAAAAATAACTAAACATATAAATGCACTATATATATATATATATATATATATATATATATATATATATATATATATATATATATATATACTCCGACTAGAAAAAAAAAAAAAAAAAAAAAAAGAAAGAAGGATTTAACCAAATATATCCCTAACATTCGTTGGCGTGTGACGATTACATATATTGCCCAAAACTAAGAGGACATTAAAAACCAAAACAGAAAAAAAAAAACATCTCTTCTGGTATGTGACCAATGCTCGGAACGAAAGTAATAGTGTCGTACGCTTTTTGATCTGTAAGTAATTCTGGTCAGTGTTTTTTTTCTCCATGCAGAATGGGTTTGGGAGAGTTTCATCGGAGAAAGTCGGCAGTTTTTGAGCAAGAACTATGTCGACGCATAAATATTTTTAAAATCTTTTTTTTTTTTCTTTTTCAATATTTCTTTTCGTTTGTGATTTGGTTTGTCGATCCGATCTTTTTCCCTTAACTTTGATTTTATCTAAAGTTTATTTCTATGTTTCTTTTGTAGATAAATCGATATTCTTGATTTTCTCTTTTCTTCGATAACTCTCCTTTCATTCTTTATTTGAGTCTTTTTTTCATTTCTTTTTTTCTTCGCTTTTCTTCTTCATTGAATATTTTCATTTCCTTACTTGTGGCTCCTCCGTCATTCATCATTTCCGGTTAGTTTTTCTTCTTTCTTCTTTGCCGCTTTTAATACAGCGAATTCATTAATTACTTTCAGGGACACTTCCTTGCATTATTTTCCTTCCTTTAACCATTTCGTTATCCTTTCTTTCTTTCTTTCTTTCTTTATTTATTTAAGTTGCTTTCACATCCGTTTTTAATTTTTATTCTTTTTTTCTTTTCTTTTTCTTTACTTCTTCTTTGTATTTGATTTTTCTATTCTTTCTTATTTTCCATTTCTCTTTCTTCTTTTTGTCTTTTTCCTTCAACTGAAAGGCTTCTTGCTTTCTTTCTAATTGTTTTTTCTATCATATTGCTTTCTTTTTCTTTATATTTTATCTTCCTTTCTTTCTTTCTTTCTTTCTTTCTTTCTTTTACTTTTTTGTATTTGTTTTGCTTTTTCATCCTTATTTTTATTTTATTTCTCTCTGTTTCTTTCTTTCTTTCTTTCTTATTGTTTTGTTTCACGGTATATCAACCTCAATGGTTTATTTAATGCTGAGAACATTTTTTTTTTACTTCTGGTAACATTTATTTTTCTTTCAAAAATTTATTGCTGGTAATATTTTTTCTTTCAAAAATTTATTGATGGTAATATTTTTTTAAAAAATGTATAGCTGCTAATTTTTTCTTAAAAAATGTATTGATGGTAATAATTTTTTTACAAAAAAGTATTTCTGGTATTAAAACCTATTTTACACTTTCATTGTGATTTGATCCCAGTTTAGTGGTTAACTATTTGCCCATATCTGGAACCCTAAAAGGTGCTACCACTCCAGATCAGCGTGGACCTTGAAACATCAGCAATTAAGAGGTGGTTCCATGCTCCTCAAAACCTCGTGATCAGAGACCTTGTTGTCGGATGTAGTTTATCGTCTTACCCAGGACACGGACGTAGTTTATTTTCTTACCCAGAACACGGACATAGTTTATTGTCTCCCCCAGGATGTGGATATAGTTTATCGTCGTACCCAGAACGGTTGGTTCTTTGTGTTTGTTTTTTCTATTTACATTTTATTTGTCTTCTTTCTTTTTGGGTTTTCTTGCTTTGTTTGTTTGTATTTACTTTTTTAATTATTTATTTATTCTTTTGTCTCTCTCATACTCCTTCGGCGGTTTGTTTTTCATATGTTTCTTAGTTCTGCTATCTTTTTCTTCTTTCTTTCTTTATATTTCTTTAAACTTTTATTTATTCGATTTTCTTTCTTTCTTCCTATCATATTAAATTTTCATTTTTTCTTCTTATGTGTCTTTAAGTTTAGTCTTTGTTTCTTTCTTTGTATTTTCATTTTCCTGTTTCTTTCTTTTCTTCCTATCTTTCTTTATAGTTTTTTTTTTATTTATTCGCTTTCTGTTTTTTGTTTTTCCTAAAGAAACTTGTTCTTTCTTTATCTTTTATTTCACATCAGCTTTTACATTTTCTCATGTTTCATTAGACATGGTTTCTTTTTAAATCTTTTTTTTTCTTACTTTTTTCTTACATCTTTCTTTCTTTCTTTCTTTCTTTCTTACTTTCTTTCTTTCTTTCTTCGCTTTGATTTACCCTTATTTCTTTCTTTAACATTTACTTAAAAAAAAACAACAACAAGCAAATAAAAATGGAACCATTTTCCGCATTTACTTTCAACCCTTTCTTTCTTTCTTTGTTTCTTCCCGCCTTTTCGCTTTTCCTATCTATCCTTTCATTTCCATCATTATTTTTACTTAAGTTTATTCAATACCTATCCCATAAATACTTTCTCTTGTTCCTCTTTCAACACCATCGTCCATCATTCTTTCTCTCTCGTGAAAGATATCTTGCTTCGCATCAATAACTTCCACTTCAACTCTTTACAGTTCATAAAACTTAACAGAGAGTAAACAACATATATATATATATATATATATATATATATATATATATATATATATATGTGTGTGTGTGTGTGTGTGTGTGTGTGTACTGTAAATGTCACTTTGATATCAAAGCACACAAATCGGTATAAAATCGAATAGTTCATAACCACACATTCAAGATTGAATATCGAACATTTGACTTTCCAAATCGGAACTTCTGCTTCGAGTTTGAAAATTCCATGCAGGAATAGCATTTAAATTTCAATGGCTATTTTTCGACATTCATTTATAATGTAAATTTGTGTCATTCAGAAAAAATATATTTATTAGGTAGGCGAAGAATTTCATTTTGTTTACTGAGTAAAAATAAATGATAATCTAAAAAAGAAAATCGGCATTAATAATATTATTGAACTACATGTCTATCATAACAATTTACCTTCTTTCATCATTCCCAGGCAACATCAGCAATTCTATCCGGTCCGTGGTATCAAGGTCTTACTATCTCACGGATATACTGATGTCTATAATGGAGTAACGCAAATATTTTATATTTTATTTTCACATTGGTTTAGCCCTTCTGTCAAAATGGAGGATATACCAATGTACGCATGTCGTAAAAAGTGGTGCCGATTTTTAACATGTAAACAGATAGCCATTGCAAGGGAAGTTACAGTTACTGACGAAAGCCAGATTAAAAAAAAAAAAATGATGAAAATTTTACTTTGTCCAGTAGCGTAGAAGTGCTACTTTGTTACGGACAAAATTGCTATCTTTAAGAATAAATGCATTTCGATAGATATTTATATAAAAGACAACATGGCCGTACAAAAACAAAAAAAAAAGAGAAAAAAAAAAAAGAAAATGTATGTAATGTAAATGTAAATTTTCGTGTATAAAAGTGGCTAAAAATATATACGTGGACTGTGTGTACGTTTGTAGGTTGTGTCATGTGGATTTCAGAAGTCGATATTCCGGGGAAAGAAACCTTCCTTGACGTGGACTAATACACCCGTCACATACCTACCACATCCTATGAGCGAGTAATATTTCTAGTTGGTAAAACGAGCTGTCCGGTGGTGTCCTCTGTATACCAGGTTAACACATATAGTTTTCTCTGTGCCCAAAACGAGGGGAGAGAGAGAGAGAGAGAGAGAGAGAGAGAGAGAGAGAGAGAGAGAGAGAGAGAGTATATGCCTTCGTTTTGTATTCCTGAGTGGAATGTTAGCTAGCGACGTCAGGGGGTGTTCCTTGGCACACAAGGTGGTGCAATCCCACTTATATTATTTTGTGTTTACCTAGATCTATATATTAAAGTTGTAACTGTTTTTGTATTCGATTAATACTCTAATAGAAACGCCGGTTTATTTGAATCTTTACACCTGTGTTCCTTTGTAAGGACGCAAATAGTGATTATCTCCATTTTCGTTGAGACGATGCCACGAGAGTTATATGAAGTCCAGTGATTAACGTCAATTTCTAGAATAAACACCATTTACTGGTGGCAAGACGTGATTCAGTGTAGGCTGTAGGAGAAACAAATGTCACAAATGATCACAGCGGTAGGGCACACCGAGAAAAAGAAGGTGTGTTAACCTGATATATAGAGGACACCACCGGCCTGCTCGTTTTCTCATTAAGAAATATTACAAGTAAGAACCTCTCTCTGTTCGCCCCGTTAGCATTACCTAGTGTTCATATATATATATATATATATATATATATGTGTGTGTGTGTGTGTGTGTATTTATACATTCTTTTTATAGATACGAATATTTAAGTAAATGCTCTGTTTGTAATAAACAGTATTAAAAAACATTTACCGGCCTGAATATCCGAGAAATTTTCATAGAAAATATTCACCCTCCGACAGGAATAGAACCTGTATCCTATACGGAACCGTCATATAGTTTAACGTGCCTTTAACCGATTTGGCCACAGAGGAGCGTTCGGTTAGTAAGGTCGATTTTACTGTCTTTAAACTACAATCTTGCATGATTCTTTCACGTACAGTCATATCTGCTCATGGCGTATCCAAATGTAAACAAATGACATCACACATTATGAAATGGACAAAGTCCAACAATTATATTAAGACATTTTTATGTTTATACATTCTTTTTATAGATAGAAATATTTAAGTAAATGTTGTGTGTATAATAAACAATATTAAACAACATTCACCAGCCTGAATGTTCGAGAAATTTTCATAGAAAATATTCGTCCCTCGACAGAAATCGAACCTGTAACCTATACGGAACCGTCATTTAGCCTGATGTACCTTTATCCCAGGGTCACAAACTTACATCAAGACAAGTAAGTATGTTAGCCCTATCACTGAGATTAAGCGCTTTTCAATAAGTCCCTTGCATATATAATACATATTGAAATTACATCTATCTATCTATCTATCTATCTATCTATCTATCTATCTATCTATCTATCTATCTATCTATCTATCTATCTATCTATCTATCTATCTATCTATCTCTACATACATTCATATATATATATATATATATATATATATATATATATATATATATATATATATATATATATATATATATATATATATATAAACCAAAAGTTTCATGTAAAAGACGAGACTGTGTTTTTATATTATTTAGGTTAGACCGTATTAAGTACTATTTGGACATTATGAATTTAGTCTAATAACTCTCTCAGGAACCGCTGAAGGTTTCTTGGCCAGCCCAATAATTTATTCAACACACACACACACACACACACACACACACACACACACATATATATATATATATATATAAATGTAGACACACACACACACATATATATATGTGTGAGGGGTGTATGTATGAATGTGTGTGAGTGTTCCTATATATAGCTCGTTTCAAAGCTTTACTTATTTGGTCACGTGTACGTCTGTAAGTAAAGACGAAAAGGCCAGTCAACGCAGCAGGGGGACATGTTTATTTGTCAAAACAGAACCAGTCCCACGCAATACTTGTTTTCTCTCTCTCTCTCTCTCTCTCTCTCTCTCTCTCTCTCTCTCTCTCTCTCCCCGTCTTTGACGCACCGAAGAACCCCTTTTCAACTCCAGTCGCCGATTCCATATATCGTCTCTTTCTTTTGCATCCGATTCCCGCGGAGACATCGGAAAAAGGCGCAACATTCATGAATCTTTATTAATTTCTGAAGGCCATAAAAGCCTGGGTTTACAAGAGAAAATCAAAAACCTTTTATGAATTTATAGTAAACTGATGTTTACTAGTTTTGCTTGGCATGAGACCAGTATAGCGGGCCTCTGCTGGTAAGTCAATTCGCGTTACTTAGAAAATTAAATCATTATTGGCAATTATAATAAAGCAGGTTTGTAATAAATTAATGTTATGAAAGAAAGCTTATTCATACGGATTTGTGTGTGTCTCTTGGTAGTTAGGGACATAATATCTCAGCCATCGTGTACCTGAGCCTCGTAGGGTAAAATATTTTCTGTTTTAGAAAAAGATACAGGTCACGTAATAAGACTGATGCAGTGTAACCCGTATATAAGAGACCCGGATATAAGAGAGATTTTCTCTGGTCCCAAATTAGAGCCTGTGTTAATGTATATAAAATAGACCAAACCCGGATATAAGAAAAACCCGGATATAAGAGACTTCGTCTCCGGTCCCGACAACTCTCTTACATTCGGGTTACACTGTATATAAATTTAAATGCCTCAAAAACTCAGAAATCTTTATCATCACCGAGCAGGCCCTAGATCAAGGGTTGGCAACCTACGGCCCGCGGGCTGGATCCGGCCCGCAAAGGCATTTTGACCGGCCCGCGAACCTGATTACCAATGACTCTATTTTTAACATGAGAGGCGACCTTCAAATGAAATTTGTTGTATGTCATTTACCATAGAATGTCTACACATCTCAGTGCACTAATAATATTAGACTATCTGCCAGTTATCTTTCATGAGACTTATTTTACCAAGTTGTGTTGCCTACGTTTAATGTCAAATAATGCATACATATTTGTTATGACCCTTGGCTACATTAAAAGATAACAGAAGCGAAAGGAACGATAAAGTGAAAGAGGCCAGGGAGGGACTGACATGCAAGGTAGCAGAAATCTAAAGACAGTTAAACATACGCACATTATACACACATGCCTCATGAATGTGTGGATGATACAGGATGTATACATACGTAAGTGTATATGTTTGCGACTATTTGAACTCCTATGCATGGGTATATGTGCTTCGTTTTTGTTTGATGTGTGTGTATGTGGTTCGTTTGTGGAACAATTTTCAATAACAGTTTCAAACCTACACGTCATAATTTCATCCATTTTCACTTCGGTTGATTTTTTCACTTTGAAGTATTTTGACGTTCCTTGAGGAAAAGTAATTTTTGTTAGGTGTTTTTTTAATTTTAGATTTTCTTTTGTTTTTTTTTTTGATTTTTCAATGTTTATTTTCATTATGGTTTTAAATATTTAGGTTGACAGGGGGTCTGCATATGTAATTTTCCTTAATTTTTCATTAATGGCCTTCGTCCGGCCCGCGACCCGTCATTATAACACGATCCGGCCCGCGGAGTCGAATGAATTGCCGACCCCTGCCCTAGATACTCAGCAAACAAGATTAATGGATGATCTCTCGAAGAAATTCCTTGCTTTGAGCTTCTATTGGGATTCAAGTTCAGCCCGGACCTCAAGCGGAACTCCT